GATCTATCCTGCCCTTTCCTTAGATGAAACATGAATGCATTTCATTACCCAGGACGCTATTTGACCCGTACGAGTTTACCTCTTCAGCGATAGAGTAAAGCATACCATTTTTAAAGTGTATTTAGTGCACCCATTGACAACGTCTTCTGCTGGCTATACCGTTTTGAAGACGTTGTATATGTATTAAAGGTAATATATACCGACGTTGAATGTATATACTGATGGGAATGTTAATAAAACACAATATGCGGTTAATTTCATTTTACTGAAGAGACGTTTCGCCCACTAGGATAACTGATAAAGGCCCTGGTGAACGAAATTTTACTGAAAAAATACCATAAACCTTATACTGTATCTTATTAACACAGAGACAATAGTAAGGGGAGGAACGTTGGCCTCAGGGCGTCGTATACTGGGTCGTAAAGTTACGACCACGTGTGGAGTTTACTCCCTTCACGACGTGCAGATGGTAAGTGTGGAAAACGTGTAGCGAAGCACCCAGACCTCCGTCAATATTCAAACTAGGTTTGAAGACTTCCCAATAAAGGCTGTGTTAACAGATACTGTGAGTTAATTAAGTGGTCGTCAAGGCCTGAAGTAGTGTATTTGTTATTTCTCCAGGCCATTACTTGAAGTAGTGAGCTTTCCCCAGTCCAATATTTAAGTAATGTTATTTTCCAAGACCAGTACCTGAAGTAGTGAGCTTTCCCCAGACCAATACTGAAGTAGTGTTATTCTTCAGGTCCAGTACCTGAAGCAGTGAGCTTTCCTCTGACCAATACTGAATTAGTGTTATTCTCCAAGTCCAATATCTGAAGTAGTGAGCTTTTCCCAGTCCAGTGCATAAAGTGATGCAAGTTGCAGTGATAGTATCGCTTGATCAACAAGAGAGAAAGGATGAAGAAATGTGAGGCCGATGGAAGAAGGATACAGCTGGTATGTGTGATCGTGTTAGAAGAGTCAAATAGATTTTTATTGCAGCTGATCTGCTGTTGGATTGTAAGTAATATCTGTGAAGTAAAATTTCGGGGGTTATTGGATCGTGATGTCTGGAAGGACAGCCAGTGTTGATGTATGTGATTTTCTTTTTAGTTTCTTTTGTCTTGGTGAAATACAAGAATCCTAAGGCTTTACCCAAGTAATAATTAAACCTAATTGTTCCCTAGTATCTAATCTGCTTATAATGGTGCACAACTTACCCCTGAGTTGAACTTCTGTTGGGTAAACTCCAGGCAAAAACCTGATTAAACTGTGACGTTGGACTTTGTGCTCTTAGTGGCAGTTTGAAAGTACAAACTGCCCTTCTTTACACATTATACTTTTTTTTCCTTCCGTCATGGACACTTCCACTGTTAATGAGTAGTTACGTTTATTTGTTACATCTCTGTATCAGCTGCTGTAATCACAATGCTAACTATTACAAAAGCAAGTGGTACTGTATTTCGAGAATGATTCTTAGCTCAGTGGTAGCACTCTCAACTCACAACCGAAGGTCCCTGGCTCAACCCTGGGCACATCGAAAGTATGGATAAGTCTCCTTCCACATATTTCTCCCCTGTTCACAGTCAATAAATAGGTACCTGGGTGTTAGTCAACTTTAATGGGTCGTATCCAGGAGGTGGCAAGTCCTCTTCCACATATTTCCCCTTTTCACTATCAGTAAATAGGCATCTGGATGTTGGTCAACTTTAGTGGTTCGTATCCGAGGAAGGATAAACATCTCTCATCCTTTATAATCAACTGCATAAAAATCTAAATAATCCTATTGCCACGAGGGTAAGGGTGTGGGATGTAATATGGTTTGTATAATTATTGACAATACGCTAGGTAAACGAACATATGTGCAACTACAATGCCTCATTAGTTGCACATGTGTACCTCTACCTAATAAGGTGTGGGATGTTATGAGGAAATAAGTAGTTTGGAGATCAGTCGTGTTTAACTCACAGTGTACACTTATATTTTCTAGAAGTACTGATGTGAGACGAGATATCTGAATAAATTGACCCAAATGCTTTTGGTCAATGCGTTATCCAACCAACTGCAAAATATTTTTTTTACCTTACTGGCAAAGTCACTTCTGTAGACAAACCTGAAACTGAAGTAAACATGCGACTAGACTTCAGCTAGACAAAGGCTCGTAAAGACACTGTCAAATACAGACATTGACACACATTACCAAACAGGACCACCTAAGAACACTACCAGACAGAGAAACGGGCACGTGAGAACGCTGTTATGTACTGACTTGTGGAGACATCTTTGTCAAAAGTGTCAACATCAATAGAAATTTATTTTCTCAATAGAAAGACATTCAGTGGTTGCGATGGACACGTAACTGACCCTGTATGAGAGGATGTAGACAGAAACATAGCAAGGGTCTGTACGAGAGGATGAAGAAAAGAACATAGTAAGACCCTGTACGAGAGGTTGGAAATAAAAACACAGGAAGGCCCTGTATGAGAAGAAATAATGGCATGCAAGTTACTGAGTTACCCACCTAGAGGAATCATGTCTCGTTCTGTGCGGGTGGCCAGGGCTGGACAACACACCACTGCCATCATGGCCCCCGCCACCACCAACCACAGGGGCCGTCCGCCTCTCACGCTGCTACTGCCGCTGCGACTTCGGCAGGACCGTAGAGTAGTATACTCCATCACCCTGGGCTTCCAACTCGCGTCGCCAAGTAGAGTGACACTGAAGCAGACAACTGTATCTTCATAAAACCTTTCCTATATGTCTCCCAAGATGTATTTTCTTGAGATGGGGACGACGACGCTGTTCAGCATTCGCAACACACGGCTGATCACTGATTCCAAGGTGACTATAATGTTTCTTGGGATGGTTTCAGGAGTAAACTACTAGAATTTTCTCAAGGTTATATTTCTCTTTTTCCTTTCACTATTTTTCTATAAGATACTGGAAGGGTGCTACTGCCGGTAAATTTCGTGATCCAGGCTGTAGCTCAGGAACACACTGGAGCTACTTGCTACTCTTTCAACACCATCTTACTGCACCTTGCATGCCTTCACGCAAGTTCACACACCTTGCGGTAAATCAAACTCCTACTTGCCGCACTTTACAACACCTCGATCCTCTTGCCGCACCCAGCGCATTTCCTTGCGGCACTTTAAATTGCGTCTCGCAGAACCCTGCACACTACTGACGTTCACATCAGAGGCAGCTTACCGCAGGCAACTTTAAAGTTTCTGAATTTAGAATTCTGCACTCTACCCGAGGTGCTGTGTCAGCACTCACTAGTTATGCAGCTGTTGTGTGTCAGCACTCACCAGTACTGCAGTTGGTGTGTGTCAGTACTCGCTAGTACTGCAGTTGATGTGCCAGCATTCACCAGTTCTGCAGCTGGTGTGTGTAAGTACTCGCTAGTACTGTAGCTGATGTGTGTCAACACTCACCAGTACTGTAGCTGTGTCAGCACTAATACTGTAACTGATGCGTGTTAGCACTCACCAATACTACAGGTGTTGTGTCAGCACTCAGTAGCACAGCAGGTGCTGTGTGTCAGCATTCACCAGTATGTAGCTGGTGTTTCAGCACTCACTAGTACTGTAGCTGGTGTGTGTCAGCACTCATCAGCACTGCAGCTGGTGTGTCAACACTCACCAATACTGCAGCTTCTGTGTGTCAGCACTACCAGTACTGCAGCCGATGTATGTCAGCACTCACCAATACTGCAGTTTCTGTGTCAGCACTAACCAATACCACAGTTAGCAGTCTCCAGTATCACAGCTGGTGAGTGTCAGCAATCTTCACTACTGCAGGTAGCGGCTGTCAACACTTACCACAGCTGGTATCAGCACTCACCACTACCTCAGCTGGTGTCAGAACTCATCAAAACCACAGATGGTGTCAGCACTCACCACTACTGCAGCTGGTGTCAGCACTCACCATTACTGCAACTGGTGTCAGCACTCACAACTACTGCAGCTGGTGTCAGCACTCACCACTACTGCAGCTAGTGTCAGCACTCACTACTACAGCTGGTGTCAGCACTCACCACTGGGCTTCTTTTAACCTAATGTCAGCTAACGGACATTGTTAAAGAAGTCAATATTATTTAATCCCAAAAGAAAGGTTAAAGCCGTGTTGGCTAATGTTACACTTTTCCAGTGTTTATATCAACATAGTTTATATATTTTCATATCTAAACATAAGTCATATATTTCCAAACATCTTTCATCAGAACCCTAATGAATCTAAATCGACCATAATATCCAAACTGAGAGCTTCAGATTACATTAATAAAAACGGAAATTTATATACAACAAGGTTTTTATGTATAAATTGTACCACAGATTAATATTAGATGATGTGCATAGAAAAAAGGAAGAAAATTATTACGGCTGAAAGAATCTAATTTTGATCACAACGTCAGGGTTAATCTTATTCTTAATTTCTGGAGTGTTGGCGTGCGTGATAGAAGAATAGAGTAGTACAACCACATGGAGGATGCTTGCTGCAGGAGAAGAAGATAGAGAGAGAGAGAAGCAAGAGATATACACCGCCCACGTGGGGATCACGACGAGGAGAGGCAACACGCTACCACTGCGGGTGTCCAGGGACTACTGCCACCAGCTGTGCTGCACCGCTGACACAACAAGTTCCCCGCCATGTTTCCCCACCAACCTGCTTCCCTGCCAGCCGCACGAACCCCACACCTTACTAATGTAAAGCATCTAACATCTCCTTAGTGGGTCACCACCACCTCTAAGAGGAATTCTAAACATTAAAAACGAAAAACACCAAACATGTCCCTGGAAGCTATATTTTTCGTACGTGGATTATGCATATCCAGAAATAAAGTCTACGGAAATAAAGTTACATTTTTTATTTCAGTGTTGTGTATCATTAGAGATGAATGATATATCCGGTATGAGAGTTTTGGCGGAGAACACGGCAGCATCTACTTGTGATCAGCTGACTCTGGTGCCAGAATCCCGGTATTGACTCCAGCGGTGAGCAACTGGTGTATCTGTGTGTGTGTGTGTGTGTGTGTGTGTGTGTGTGTGTGTGTGTGTATGTGTGTGTGTGTGTGTGTATGTGTGTGTGTGTGTGTGTATGTGTGTGTGTGTGTGTGTGTGTATGTGTGTGTTTGTGTGTGTTTGTGTGTGTGTGTTTGTGTGTGTATTTGTGTGTGTTTGTGTGTGTCTGTCTGTGTGTCTGTGTGCGTGTGTGTGTGTGTGTGTGTGTGTGTGTGTGTGTGTGTGTGTGCGTTTGTGTGTGTGTGTGTGTGTGTGTGTGTGTTTACTTGCTGAAAATTCATAATAAACATCTGCAACACTTGAAACGACATCCTGATAATTAAACACCTGATCTGATGGTCCTCAACATGCCATCACAATTCACACCACCACTGAACCACAACCAGGAAATTCTTCCCTGGAAAGGTTGTGAAAACCACAACTACGACTCTGTACATGACTCTAAATGGAAATACTAACCCACCCTACAGGTAGACGCTGATGAATATATTATAGTGTACAACATTCGTGAAAAATTGAATGCAACAATTCAAATAGAACTCGGTGTTTCGAACCCGAGAATGTCTGTCGCAGGTTACCAGGATAATGTTCAGTCATAGAGCCACAGAAGGTGAAAATCAGTATTCCATAAAAATCTGTGTTAAAGGGTCGTAGTTGAGGCTAACAATAACCTTCCCAAGAACATACTTGCATGGATGTCGTGCTACGTAACACTCACTGGTAGAATCTTGAAATGGAAAGTTGAAAATGAACATAAAACGAGTTCAGTTTCCAGCATTTAATGTGAGTACGATGTCCAGAAACTCCTCCTTTGATTTATTTTTGCAGAACATTGTAAAATATATGTAAATGCATTTCTTTGGATACGAGTGCATAATTATTGTAAAATGAAGTTCCTTGACAGATAAACTAGAAAACCCCTTCAAAATGACCAACTACTTGCAGAAATAAATGATGTCATCTGGAAAGTAACAACGATTATATTCGCCACTAAGTGGGTGGAAAGCGAACATTAATTACATGCGTTACTGGCCTCTAGAAGTACACATATTCAAGCTTCCAAAGATATGTCCTATTGCTTTCTCGATTCATATTATTGACATGTACTAATGAAGTAACTCTAAGAAAAATAATTATTTATCTTAAAGACTTGCATTATAAGTACATGTTTTCAATAATAGGGCTGTCAGATAAGATAAGATAAGATTTCGTTCGGATTTTTAACCCCGGAGGGTTAGCCACCCAGGATAACCCAAGAAAGTCAGTGCGTCATCGAGGACTGTCTAACTTATTTCCATTGGGGTCCTTAATCTTGTCCCCCAGGATGCGACCCACACCAGTCGACTAACACCCAGGTACCTATTTGCTGCTAGGTGAACAGGACAACAGGTGTAAGGAAACGTGTCGAAATGTTTCCACCCGCCGGGAATCGAACCCGGGCCCTCCGTGTGTGAAGCGGGAGCTTTAGCCACCAGGCCACTTTATGCAAGGATAGTCTTTTAGGTAAGCTTAGGCAAGATATATGCTCATGGACCGGGCCGTAGGGGTATTGATCCCCGGAACACACAACAGGTATACTCCTGAAAAGATATTAACTTCTACAATACAGGCAGGATCGCCAGGCCCACGAGGAGCGCCTAATAGTTTAAAGAATAATGGAAGTAGTATTAGCAGTAGAAAAATTATTATTAGTAGTAAAAGTACTAGTAGTGTTGTTAAAAATTCTAGTAGTTGTTGTAGTAGTAGTATTAGTATTCGTATTAGAAGTAGTAGTAGAAACTAGTAGTAGTAGTACACAAATAACCGGTACATAAGAGAGGGTTATTTGTGTATTGCTCCAGTCACGGTATTGTACTTTTTCGTTATTTAGTAGTAGCAGCAGCAAAATAATAATAATAATAATAATAATAATAATAATAATAATAATAATAATAATAATAATAATAATAATAATAATAATAAATAAAATTATAAAGTTCCTAAATACCCATTGAGTATAATTTTTAAACCACAAAATTAAAAGCTGACTAAAACCCGTCTTTAGGAAAGTTGCTAGATTAATGACCTGGATGGCTCAGCTCAGCTTCTGAACGGCTCTCCTCAGCTCCACCATCGTTGCCTCAGCTCCAGTAGTGGTGGAAAGTGGAGTGGGTTGAGAGAGAGAGAGAGGGAGAGAAATCCCTTTTCCAATGATTTGTGTTTACATTCACTCAAGTATTTCTTGTTAACTCGACACTCGTCCTGGACAAGTGAGTGAATATTACATTCCTGACTGTTTACTTTGACGTCTTTTAGGTAAGCTTAGGCAAGATATATGCTCATGGACCGGGCCGTAGGGTATTGATCCCCGAACACACAACAGTTACCTCCTGACAAATATTAACTCTACAATACAGCAGGATCGCAGCCGAGGAGCCTAATAGTTTAAATTATGGTAGTTTAGCAGTAGAAGAATTATTATTAGTAGTAAAAGTACTAGTAGTGTTGTTAAAAATTC